GTCAGGAACTGGCTGGAGGGCCGGGCCCAGAGAGTGCTGGTGAACGGGGCTGCATCCAGCTGGCGGCCGGTCACCAGTGGTGTTCCCCAGGGATCAGTGCTGGGACCAGTCCTGTTTAACATCTTTATCGATGATTTAGATGAGGGGATTGAGTCCATCATCAGCAAATTTGCAGATGACACCAAGTTGTGGGGGAGTGCCGACCTGCCGGAAGGCAGGAGGGCTCTGCAGAGGGACCTGGACAGACTGGAGAGTTGGGCTGATTCCAACAGGATGAGGTTCAACAAGGCCAAGTGCCGGGTCCTGCACTTTGGCCACAACAACCCCCTGCAGCGCTACAGGCTGGGCACAGAGTGGCTGGAGAGCAGCCAGGCAGAAAGGGATCTGGGAGTTTGGATTGACAGGAAGCTGAACATGAGCCAGCAGTGTGCCCAGGTGGCCAAGAAGGCCAATGGCATCCTGGCCTGGATCAGGAACAGTGTGGCCAGCAGGTCCAGGGCAGTGATTCTTCCCCTGTCCTCAGCACTGGTGAGGCCATACCTGGAGTGCTGTGTCCAGTTCTGGGCCCCTCAGTTGAGAAAGAGTATTGAGGTGCTGGAGCAGGTCCAGAGAAGAGCAATGAGGCTGGTGAAGGGACTCGAGTATAAGTCAGTCCTATGAGGAGAGGCTGAAGGAGCTGGGGTTGTTTAGCCTGGAGAAGAGGAGGCTCAGGGGAGACCTCATCACTCTCTACAACTCCCTGAAAGGAGGTGAAGCCAGGTGGACTTCAGTCTCTTCTCCCAGGCAACTATCAGTAAGAGAAGAGGGCATGTTCTTAAGCTCTGCCAGGGGAGTTTTAGGTTGGATATTCTTTACAGAGAGGGTAATCAGGCACTGGAATGGCCTGCTCAGGGAAGTGGTAGATTCACTGTCCCTGGAGGTTTTTAAGATGAGACTGGATCACAGGACTGAGTGCCATGGTCTAGTAATCACGGCGGTAGCGGATCAAGGGTTGGACTTGATGATCTTTTCCAACCTGTCTTATTCTATGATTCTATGGTAAATGATGTAGTTCTGCTTTACCTGCTCCTTGCTTTGGAGAAATACCAAAAGCTGTCCTTACAAGAGGAGATTTTTTACACTGTTTACAAGAAGCCAGATGCATTCTCAGTGCCATTTTACATCTACATATTCTAAGGCTTTTTATTCCTTTGGCAACTATACAGAAGCATTCAGGTATAGTAACCATGATGATAAGCAAACAAGTAATGTGATATCCTTAGCAGAGAAATTGGGAAAATCCCATCTTCAGGGCAGTACTTCTGCTTATTTCAAGAAGCTGCAAATTGCTGGAAGACAAGTGGGTGTTCCACTTCAGAGGGTCCTCATTCTTTTCAAGCTCTAGCTCAGCAGTGCTGCTTCTCAGGATATGCAGCTGCAGTGATATTACTCTACAGTAAAATTAGGTGGTAGAGCAAGACACAAAAAAGGGTCTTTGATGGTCAAGAAGGAATTAAAAGCTCAACCCTACAGAGAAAGTAATTTTACATCAAAATGAGAATTGTCTTGTCCAGCAAATGATTTGCTTATATAGCCTAGGTATGTTTTGGCCTTTAGTAGGGATTTATCAAAGAACAAGTCAGCCTTTTGAACATTTTTTCCCCTCTTATAGTAGGATGTTGCTCAACACAACAGCTTACCACTGAAAGGAGGGGAGGCAGAACTATTCCAGGAAGGAAAGGGGAGGTTTGGAGCCTTTCCTGTTTTGGATGTATATCTCTGTCAATCACTACAGCACACAGTAGGATCCAGTAGGCCCACTACAGTCAAAAGTGGGGAAAATAGGTAATTTAAGAACTGAGTGATGTATCAGAGTAGCAATCTCTCCTTTGCAAGGCAAGTAACATGATTGAAACAAAGTTGCAGAGTAAAAATGCCCCGCAATGTCTGGCGCTACTGCTACTGACTACTGCAGTGTTTACTGGGCAGATTCTCCAGTACCATGAGAATAAAGATAAAGGAACAAACTCCAACTACGAATCACTCCATTTCTCCCTGTCTTCAGAGGCATCTTCTACATTTCAGACAAACTGCCTCTAAGAAAAAAACTGACTTTGGTAAAACAACCCTCCCCCCCAAGCCAAACAAAAACCCACACCCCAAAAACCCACAAAACCAAAACCAACCAAACAAAAAAAGCCACAACAAAAACACAACTAAAAAACAAAAACAAAAACCCAAACAAAACAACCCCCCCCCAAAAAAAACACACACACACACACACAAAAAGAAGCCAAATCCCCAAATCAAAAACCAACAACAACAAAAAAATCACTGAATTCAGTGCAGTAGGAGCTAAACGACTAGTTTTCATCTGCCCTTGATTTCTGGAAAGATTGTTTTAATTTGCAGGATGTGGGGAGAAAAAAAAAACAACCCTTCTCTCTACTTGCAAAGTGAGCAGTTTTGATACCATTTAGACAAAAATATGGAAACTCAAAATCTCTCTAAGTGACTTTGCTGAATGAGAACTTTGCATGATTTTTATTCAGTCCCTAAACCACCATTTTCTCTCAGAACACATTAATAAAAATGCTGATTAACTCTGTATACAATCAATTAAAAGTATGACATTCTTCAACAATACAGTTGATTAAAGTCAGCTTCACGCATAAAATGCATTAAACTTTATACAAACCACTTTAAAAAACAGCTGTCATTCAGATCAAATGAAGACAACTGACTACACATATTCCATGTAACAGTACTTTGTATCCTGGAGGTCCCTTGCAGTCTGAGTGCAAGTCTAGATATTCCCTCTTACAGCTGGTACCTGCTACACAGGTATCTTCAGGTATTCTAACAATAATTTCTTGTCCCTCAAACAAGTTTCACAACTGGAAAGTATTTATGAGGAGAGAAATCAAATTCTGGAGGAACCTAGAAAGAAAAGGGTTAAACATTACACAGCAGCACTACTGCATTTGATACTCACAATGAGAATACCCTGCAGACAGGAAAAAAACCAACAGCAGCAGCAGATTGAAAAACAAATAGTCCTAGCTCTTTAAATTATCATCTGAAAAATACTTCAACCCATTTCTGAATATGTCAATCGTTATTCAGCAGTGATGGCCACAAAGCTGTAGAATGCTGGTGTGCCTCTTCAGTGTGTTCCTTCATCATTCTGTGCCTTGCCTTCAGCAGGAAGGCTGAAGGCCCCCTCTTCCCTCTGACCCACGCAGTGGCACCCACTAAGCCTGACAGCCAGCACTCATGATTTTGTTCGCAAAAGCTGCTGATACGCATGCTACCAAATACTGTTCCTGCTCTTGAAGAATATCCATATTTCTCTTGTGTTGTCCCACATGCATTTTTTTTCCTCAAAACATTCAGAGATTAGAGTTTTCCATATTTAAATAACAACAACAAACTATTTCCAATGGGAAATTATTTAAGTTTCTTTTCCCTGTTCTTTTAACAGTTAGAGTAACTATGGTTTGAATCTGTTCATTCAGAATCACAGAATCATTCAGATTGGAAAAGATCATTGAGTCTAACCCTAATGTATATAATACTATATTTTACACTCAATTCAGCTGGCATTTCCTTACCTTAGAGTCTTTCTTGTGGCCTCCTGCTAGCAGCTTCATGACCACAATATTGGGTTTTGCAACTTTAAGAATTCGATTGACCTAAACACAAAACAGCAAGAAGTCTTCAACTGAAAGCATATGACCTCATTTCAAACTATTTCAAAGATAATACTCTAATGTTTATATACTCTAACACTACAGCAGTTCTTTTACAATATCAATTTAACAGAGTGTTTCTGGAATAAGCAAAGAACTGGAATAATTAAATTTAATGAAGGGTACATTTATTTTCCTAGTCACTTTTTATTCAACAAATCATAGAAACCACTGCTTTAAAAATTCTGGAACATAAACATGGAAACTATGGCAGGTTCTGTGGTACTCTCACAAATAAGGCATAGATAAACTCTAAGCATCTATCTTCAACAATGCAACACACTGAGAATGGTAAACTCAAGTATGAAACTAGTGGGTTTTTGCACGGAAGTGCTCTCAACATCCTCAAAACTACCTCTGAACCATCTTGGTTAGCCTCAAGTAAATAGCTCATTTGTGAGTACCACTATAATCCAGAGAACAGGAATTGATTCTTAAATCCTCAAGAGGACCTAATTCTGTAACTATTCTTAACCATCTCAGATGTGACCAAAACAAACAAACAAACAAACAAAAAAACCCCCCAAAAAAATCCACAAAAAAAAGGCATCCTCCTTCCTCCAAGATACAGTCACAGACACTTAAGCTTCTAGGCTACAGACAAAAGATGGAAAAATTCTTATCCACGTTTACAGTTCAGTGCTGAGAAAACTGCTCCAGGGAACACATGCGAGTCTCAATCCTCTTTTCATCCTTATGATATTCAAACCTATTTTTCCCCCCTTTCAGGAGTCCATCTAAATTTGAAGATTCCAGAAAAGTGAGGTGGGCATATATCAGTTAAAACAGCTATTAGAAAGGGTTTAGAAGGTAACGTGCAAGAAGGAAGTATTGCTATCCAGCGTCTAGGATCCTCAGCAGGGAGAGGTTTGGCAACAGTGGCACAAGTCACATGTTGTCTGTCTGATGTACTGAAACAGATCACTGTGCATGATGCCACCATTCTTTTCTGCCCACTCTTTATAATCAAAGCACTCAGGTTTGTTCAGCATTTTGATGAAGTACATTTGGATCTCAAGCTAATCCAGCTGAAAACAAACACTAGTTTGAGCAAATACTCCTTTTCCCAGTATTTCAGTCTTACCTCATTGTCTGGATTCGGAATATTCTCAAGAATCATTTTAGCTTGCTGGTAGTGTTTGCTAGCTGCCATGTAGAGATCTGATGACTGGGGAGGTGGGCTATACTTATTTAAATCAGACATTTCCTAGTGTGTTACAGAAATATATAAATATATATTAAAATGAGTTGCCAGAAACTTTTATTTTTATTACGTTAAATGAAAGCAAATTACTATGTTCAAGAAACTTATATCAACTAAATACTATTTTAAGAATCAAAACTGAAGTTGAAAACACTTCTATAAAATGGCAAAATCCAAGTAGCAATGCAGTGCTCAGTGACTACTTTCTAGTGCCACAAAATGCAATGAAATTCTTATAGTATTTACAAAAAATCCCTCTCTTGAATAACTTGTCATTCATTTGCTTTAATAGTGCCATGCAGCAGGGTATGAAACTACAGGAAAAAAATAGGAGAAAAAGAAAGTATACTGTATTGTTTACTCAAATCAAGGTCACAACAAGTGAGTTCAAAACTTCGTTTTATATAATTTTGATTTTTTCAACTTTTTGGTTTTTTTGACTAGGGGAAAAAAAAAAACAAAACACAACAAACCACCAAACTTCAATGACAAGGAGGAAGTCATGCTAGTCTTCATTTCCAGTACAGCTCTTCATAACATTAAAACTGAGAAGAGTGACTGGCACACAAAATAGCACTGTTTCAGTTCAGACTAACCCCACAAATAATAGAGGCTAATAACCAGCTGGGTGAGCAGCAGGGTTATTGCAAACACCAACCTGAATACAAGCCAACAAGGTACTCTTATTACAAATCAGACAAGCCTTGTATAGGAATAAAAAAGCAGGAGTATGGCCACCAAATCAAGGCACGTTATCATCCTATACTCCATATTTGTGTTGCAGTATCTGAAATGCTGCATCCGAGGCTGGATCCACTCAGTTCAAGAAAGATGCTCAGATAAGGAAGTGGCTGGGGGTCTACAGCATCTGAGCCACAAGGAGAGTGGACTTTCTCAGTTAGGCAAGAAGGACGCTAAGGGGTTATCTTAATAGCAGCCTACAACTACTTGAAAGACAGTTATAAAGTTGCCAGAAGGCAAAGACTCCTTGTTAATAATGGCAGAAAATATAACATGAGAGGCCACAGGTTGTGGTTTGGGTAATTCAGACTGGATGTTAGGAAAAAAGGAGAATAGTACAGCCCCTCAATTAGGTTATCCAAAGACTTAATGGAACAGAAAAAGTAACTGGATCAGGGTAATCAAACAGGTTGGAAAATCTCCAACCTTTGATTTTTTCAGGCAAAGACAGAGCTAATGTGATCTGTAATGCTACTTCAGGGAGAAGACTGGACAAAACAAGCCTCCACTGGTCCCTTTCAACACTCAGTATTACTTTCAGTTTTCCCATTTGCTTGCTGCACTAATAAAAACATGGTGCTACAATTAACCACAGCCAAAAAGTCTGTCAATGGACTTCCAAGAGATTTTATTTTCATGCACCAACACCAGCATCTCAAACTGCCACATCAGACCAATTTTTAAACATCTAAGCATCTAAGTTTAGTAAGAATTCAAAGCAATGTATCTTCCTTGCACATAACCAAGCTAGAACGCCTTGCCATTTGGACTTCAGTATGAGCTTTGGGACATTAAAGCTCCTTTTACAATGACAACAATGTCTAAAGCAAGTGAGAAATGACTTCTATAAAAGCATGGACAGCACCACATTTCAAGGTTACTCACTTTAAACTGCAGATAGTGCACTGGGGGTGGTGTTATAACACTGTTGAATGGAGCAAACCTGTGCTCATACCGAACTTGTTCACTATCTAGTTCAAACTTAGGTTTTCTTACTTTGCCATCCATATCAAATGCAATCATTGTCTATAAGAAAAGGATAAATACAGTAAAAAGTGTTAGCTTTATGCCATATTTTGCTGTAAGCAAGATCTAAGTTATGATTCAGCTATAACTGGAAGGAAAAAAAAAACAGTAGAAAATTTACCGTATCAAATTATAAACTTGAATCTAATTTCCAGGCCCACTAAAAACAAAGGCATGCAATGCGTACACGATTCCCATTATGAAAAAACTGGAACAAATAGAATATAAATTACCTTGTACATCCCAGCGCACATATTTTGGTATGCTTGACTCATGGTGATCTCTCTGCTGAGAGGACGAACTGCAAATTTCACGTAAAAAATGTAGTTCAATTTAAGTACATATATTCATTTCAGATCCAAACAGTTTTTCCAAATCTCCAGAAAGTGGCATAACTGTCAACTATATATTAAAATAACTGAAGCATCCAAAGCATGGACATACATTTTTGCTCACCTGGCTCCTGATTACACAAAATACCTCAAGGCATACTTAACAGTCACATGAACACCATACTGCTGTCAATGAAATAAACTGGTCAGTGGTATTTGCATGACACTATATAACACCAAACAACAGCCTCGAACTTACAGTCTCTAGCTGAGAGGCCAGTTTGCTTAGTTCGTTGACATCTTTTGACTTCTAAAGACTAAAAGGTTAAAGCATATTTTTACCTTAATAAGAAAAACTTTTATCCCGATAATATTCTCGTGGGTTTCCCTTTAGCTTCCAGTGTTCAACTACTGCCAAACTGCCCAGCATTCTGCACCTTAACTATAAGGTACAGTAGTAATTTTCTGCATTTCCAGAGACAAGGGAATTTAGTGCATATGATCCTGAGCTGTTCATATCCCATTGTTTGCTCCCCTTGGAAAGAAGGCAAGGAAAAGAATGGGTAACTCACTACTGTAAAATTCAGAAACGTGCTTTAGGACCTTCTGAAGTCAAACAGAAATTACAGAAGTACACTGAAAATTTAGTGTTTGAATTTAGCTACAGTCACAAAAAGCAGCATACTGCAGGAATTATAGAGATAGAAAGGAAGTATTTTTCAAAGGTAATATAGCTATGGAACTGTTAATTACATTTCACATGATCCCACACATTAACATAACTGATGAAGCTGTGAATATAAGTGAGTTTGGGTTTTTCTGAAAGACCTATTTAAAAGCAAATAAATACGAAATCCTTATGCAACACTGACTTCTTAACTAAAAAAGTTTTACATTCAGCCTTCAAACTTTAGGACATTTTCCCTACTCATATCAGTGCTGAATCTGTAGATTTTTAATTTTAATTCCACATGGCTGCATGGAAGAGAGAAAAAAAAAAAAGCCTTGAGTTACACTCTAGACCTAAGTACCTTTCTTCTTTTTCTTTGTTTTCTTACTACTACGTCCCTTCTGTTGCTCCTCCATTATTCTCTCCTCTGTCATTTGAGCACTGTCAGCACGGCTCAGTGTTGACATCAACCAGGCATAGAGGAACTCTGACAGGTACCTACAGTGAAAATGGAGTGTTACATACCGCAGTGCAGAAGGTACTCATAATGCACATACACCTGCTCAATGCCAAGTCATTTGCTCCAAGATGTAAGGCACCTGTCCTGGTAAAGGACAGGTTTCACGGGCAGTTAAAACTCTTTAGTTTGCATGGCTGAAGTCAACAGATCAGTCTTTGTTCCTGTTCTGGTTTGTGGTTTTCTTCTGTTTTAAACAAGACTTTATACACATTCAACCCCAGACAGCTCAAAGAATGCAAGTTTCTTATGCATTTACTAAGTGAAGTCTAAGCTTCTTATTATTTCAAAACACATTTAAGATCAAATTTTTCTAAAACTCTTCCTTCTCCCAGCAAATGAAGTATTTTTTTAAAAAATACCTTTTCTACTTTTGTTATGTATTATTATTTTGGGAAACAAGATCATTACTGATTTTTTCCAAGCATTTAAAAGCCATGAACTATTACATAAAGGGGCCAAGCACACAGAAACACAACATCCAGATGCAATTCTTTCAGATTTAAGATACATCTTCAAGAGCAATAGTGAAAGCTGATTCAACAAATATCCTGATTGACTTCAAAACGAATAAGGGGGGGGGAAAGAGAGTAGAAAAAAATACAAATTTGGAGCACAATGAAAAATAACTAATTGTTCATAAGAAGTCACAACTCAGAAGAAAAATTACTGAGAAATTTGAGTTTCATTTGCACATTTCCCCTCTGAAATTTCTTCTACTTTTTGTTCTTCACTTACATTAAGGAGATAAGGCAGCTGTCATGACAATTCTAATTAAAAGGGATTTTATTAAATGTAAAAGAAAATAGAGGCAGGTAAAATAAATATTGTCCCACAAAAAATGTGGCATTACTTATTGAGGTATTACATAAAGAATACTGCCATCTTCTAGTAACTATTTGGAGTATGAATGTTCCCGTTTAATACTTAATCCCCTTCCGAAACAACATAGAAACATACTGAAATGCACTGAAGTGTATGTCATTTCAACTATTCTAATCTCTCAATAAGAAGGTTTGCAGCCCACCAAGGATTCTTTTGGTAGCTTTACAGAAAAACAAACAAACAAACAAATCACAGCAAAAACAAAACACTAACGTAAAGAAACATTTAGCAGAGGAAGGAAGGTTCATCATCAGACCTTTAATGCTGATTCAAAAATAATTTATCTTTTGCACCAAGCAATCAACTATGAAAAATAATAAATGTGAATAGAAGCAGAAAAGTAAAAAGTATTTTGTTTCCATGTAGTGCAATCACTTTCACTAAAGGCAGATGTCTCTTCAAATATATTCACAGAATAAGATGTTAATTTAGCTAGTCAACTTTCAAATTACAGTCATAACTTAAAAACTGGAGACCTTTTCAAAAATACTAGAGATGAACAAGACTAGTGATCTTGGTACTATAACAACATAAAAGAATAAAGGAAATTGCTTTTCTCCTGCATGCTCTTGTCTGCCAAAAGCCAACATATTTTTCATTGATTGTCTGAAGAAGACACTGTTTTAAAAAGCTAAAGAGAGAGTGAATTACTATTTCACGAAAAAAAAATACACTACTTAGTAAGTCTAGAAAAGAGACTAACAAATTTTTTTTTCTTCTGTAATATTATAAATAGGTAAACCAAACAGTGTCTGAGCAAGCTTGAGATTATAAAATCATATCTGAAGTCCCTCCTTCAAATATTTGCAATTATAGCTCTGTAGGAGCATCCCTCCTTGAACAGCTGTCAATAAAGAATCTTCTTACCAATATATGTAGTAATATTCATGCATACTGTAAAGTTCCAGCTCAAAGCCACTGAGAAGATACTGTATCATAATACGAAGGTTATGATATAGGACCCAGGTGCCCAAGCAAGCCAAATGTTGTCTTTGTGGTTCCTGCTTCAGTAACATACTATGAAGTGCTGCATCTACTTTCTCTGCCTATCAATAAAAAGACAGCAAAGTAACACACAGGGGAGGAAGAACATTTGACTTAAACAATATCCAGGTTCTGCCAGAAATAAAATCTTAACAAAATCTGAATACAATTTGGGGCAGTAAAGTCATGCTCCAAATTACAAGACTGAAATACATCCTTACAGATATTGCTACTTCTATAGTCTAGAACTGTCAGAAAACTGGAAAGATATTCACATAATTAAATTTTACTGCACAGAATAACAATATTCAAGTAGTAATGTGGCAAGAACACTAGTTATTTTAAATTAACAATTTTTAAAGTATTTATATCTAGATCATTAGCAGTCACGTGAACACTGAAACTCAGATCCCATTACACACTGTTGTTCATTTTTCTATATTGGTAATAATTACTTCTCTTTTTTTTTCAACCTAGCTGCATTGAAAAATCAAATTTATTTGTAAGCTTAACGTCTAAGAAACACAATGTGTCCCACCAGATTCACTAAAATATTGCTAAGACCAATTTTGTCTGAAGAATTAATCATATGGAAGAAATGATGTCTCCCACAGTTGGAACATTAACAGTAGTCCTGAACAGAACAATTCATGTAACTGGCTAGAAAATGAAAACACAGTGTCTCAGCTGCAGTACTGAAACAAACTCAATCAAACTATCTTGAGAAAAGCTGGAGGACACAAAATCTCCCCCTGCCTCCAAGGTCCTCAATTGTTCTCCTTATGGTGCACATCTTGGGAAATATTTTATTATTTTATGACTCTCACTGCTGGAGAAAGATTTCCAGCAAGTGAAAACATATTTTTTCCTTATTCCTCCCTTCCCATTCTTCAGAAATGTTCAAAATCAGTCACAGCACACATTTTGAAGAGTTATTTTTTACGTTTGCAGTTGTCGTGGTTTTGCCCACCAGCCCATCCCTGGGGCTGAGGATGGTTTTGTCCAGGTAATTTCCGGACAAAAAGGCCAATCAAAAGTCCAGTGACGCCTTTGCTTATTACATCTTCAAGAAAACGGAAGAGGTGGTTTGTTGGCGCAATTGAAATTAGGGGCAGCGGCCATGTAGGGGAGAGGAGTACCGGGCCCGAAAAGGGCCAGACTCCTTCCTCCCCCGGCTTGGGCCGGGGTGGGGGGAGCAGGTGTAGCACTGAAGTCCTCCCTTCTCTCAGTCCTCCCTTCTCTCTTGTAAGAGAGTGGAGAAAAAAAAGTTTAAAAGACGAACTGCTTGGACAGAAACCACTGTGGAAGAATTCCAGCCGAAAGATAACGGAGCTTTCAAGGTCGGAGCTGGCAGCCGAAGCTGCAGCAAGAAAAGTAAAGTGCGAAAGGGGGGGCTTGTTTCCCCCCCACTTTTCGCTCTCTCTCCTCAGCAGGGAAGAGACTGAAAAGTAATCCCTGCTACTTGTAAAAGTTTGTTGGAATAAGGAGACCCCCCATACGGCTGATAGAGGAGTCTGTGGATGTACCAAAGAGAACCGAGAGTTCATGAGAAGGACTGAAGTGAGGCAAAATCCTGGTGGAGATTTGTGACCCTGAGGGAAACCTGTGCTGGAGCAGTGACGACTCAGGTGGGATACTGGGATCCGTGTGTGTGTGGATCCATACTGCTGTTGAAGATTTTGTGACCCTGAGAAATCTCATGCTGGAGCGAGACGGCCCATGTGAGATGTTGGGATCCGTGTGTGTGTGGGATCCGTGCTAGACCCATGCCGAGAAGTCTATCAAGGACTGTTCTCCCATGGGGAGGGACCTCCATAGGGAAACAGGGGTGAACTCTTAAGCCATTATCCCCTGTAACCCTGTGGAAGAAGATCCATAGTAAGCAAGTGTCCCCTTGCAAGCCTATGGAAGGAAGACCCTTCGGGACCTGGGTAACCCTCAGCCTTCGGTCTTAGCCCAGGAGGGGGGTAAGCCCAGCCCTGGAAGCCAACATAGAGCGAGAGAGCTGGAACTCCGAAAATAGAGAATGAGACTACTTCTTCTCCTTGGACTAGTATAAAAGGGGAAGAAGTATTTCTGTAAATATATAGCACTTCAACTTGAGTAGAAATTGTTGTAGATATAGTTCTTTAGTTTTTAATTTATTAGTAGTTTTTGTTTTACTAGTAATAAATGTTTATACTATTTGCCCCAAATCCTGTCTCCCTTTTGTCTGCAAAAACCTTCTCTCAACTAGTAGTAATTGTGTCGGGGGTGGAAAGCAAATTGACCCAGAGCAAAACCACGACAGCAGTTTAACACATCTGACAGTTATAAGGCTAAATTTTCAAAGGTATGTTGTCAGCATACCTTGTCTATCTGCCCCTGATTGTATCTTGCAGACTGACAGTCACAAGCAGGATAGGGACTAAAAGCAGTGGAGTTACCATTAGATTACATCACAACAGGTTTCCCTGAAGACTACTAACTAGACAAAGTTAATCTCAAAAAAATGTAATGTTTTTGTTAACAGATCTAACAGAAATCCTATTGATTTCTTGGGCTAAATTTTAGGAATCCTTGTCCTAAAAATTTTAGGACAAACAGAGGAGTTGCTTCATGTAGCTAGGATCTAATACCATATGCTTCACTCTGATAGGAATATACCTGAAAAGAAACTTTGCTGGCCTGCTGCCTAGGACATTACCTCATCCTGCAGGGTGGCAAATTCCTCAAGAATGTGACCAAGTTTATCTCTCTGACGAGCTCTATTGTGTCCATGGATTTGAATCAGACTACAGAACGGCTGAAAGAAGCAAAGTGTCATTTTAAGTTATCAACACAACTTCGAAACTACAGGAGGAGTACTACGATGTCTATTTAGACACCTGCTCTACATATCTATATCAGGAGGTGTGTTACTTAATGTTCCCTACAGAGGGCAAGCCAGCAGGAAAGCAAGCTCTCTGGAAGGATGCAAGAGCCCATTTCTCTGTACACAAGTCAATGTGAGATTGAGTGAGCATCCTTTAGGAATGTGCCCAGAACGGAATGCCTGGTGTAAATGAGCTATTTCTTATGCCTAAATCCATGCACCTAGGTGGCCAATGGTATCCTGGCTTGTATCAGAAATAGTATAGGGAAGGGATTGTGCCCATATACTTGGCACTGCTGATGCTACACCGATAATCCTGTGTCCAGTTCTGGGCTCCTCACAACAACAAGGACATTGAGGTGCCGGAGCACGTCCAAGGAAGGGCAGAGGAGCTGGGGAAGGGTCTGGAGCATGAGTCCTACGGAGAGTGGCTGAGGGAGCTGGGGTTTTTTAGCCTGGAGAAAAGGAGGCTCAGGGCAGACCTTAATGTTCTCTACAACTACCAGAAAGGAGGTTGTAGCCAGCTGAGGGTCAGTCTCTTCTCCCAAGTAACAACTGACAGGACTAAAGGAAATGGCCTCAAGTTGTGTCAGGGGAGGTTTAGATTGAATATTAAGAAAAATTTCTTCATGAAAAAGCATTGGAACCAGTTTCCCAGGAAGTGGTTGAGTCCCAAGCCCTGGAAGTATTTAAAAAGTGAGTAGTCATGGCACTTAGTGACATGATTTAGTGATGGACTTGGCAGTGCTGGGTTAGACCTAATGATCTTAGAGCTCTTTTCCAACCTAAATAATTCTATGATTTTCTTATGATTTTTATTGCGCCATATTCAACAACTGAATCTTTTAAAACAGTTTTTAAAAAATTTAAATTGGAGAGAAGGTAAAAATAATTTTGTTTTTACACATGCTGTGCATTTGTTTTTTTACAAGAAACTACCCTGTAAGGAGGCAGAAGGTGCAGATTTTTAACAAAGTGTAATGTTAAATAAGAATCTGGAAGCAATACACAAGAAAAAAACATCAGTAATTAGACTGGCTTTTTAAAAAGCGTTACCATTTTAAAATGGCCAACTTCTCAAATTTTGCCATCATGTCAGGTGTCTAAAATAACAGATGTCATGTTCAAATGCATGCATATCTTCAGGGTACACATAAACATCCTGTAACTGGAATGATCACTTACCCGAACACAATGTGTCACAAAGGAATCAATGTAGTCCTTCGCCTGGTGATTATTATAAAGACAACATCTAAAAGAGAAACATCCATGTACATACATGTTTTTATAAATGCTACCAGTCTATGTAGTACAAAATTAAAAAAGGAACAGCAACAGTTGCAGCAACAGCAACTGACTCCTTCATATGTAATCACTAAGTACAAAATGAGTATGTTTTTTGTGCATTTGTCTTTGCTCTTGTAAGCAGAAGTATTTTTTCAACAGAGATGTAAACAAATGCAAGCAAACTCAAGATCCACTTACTTTGGAGAAAGGACTGGAGGGCTGACAAAAGACCTTAAAGCATCTTTCACCATGTCTTGCATGAGGTGAGTACCAAACACCTTCTTATTATCTACTAGGAAAGTTGTCTGAAAGTAAAAATGTGTTTTTAGAAACATATTTTAAGTTAAAAGTAATGCACTAGGAATTACTAATAGAAAGCTCTTACAGTAGATATTATACAAAAGAAACTTGTAATATTCCTCTTAGAATTGAAATGGTTCAACTAGGTCGAAGGTTACAGACTCAGAAATAGAGGCATATTAAGATCTGACACTTCTGTGCTATTCCCAGGACACAAAATACAGCTCTGCTACTTGCATAAGACAATGAATGCAAAATTATTTTATTTCTTCCACTTTGAAGATGATAAATCAGACAGATATTTTTTAAGACTGGCATGAAATAGATTATGTGCCTTCTCTGGAGGCAGATAAAAATAAACCTTCAGACTACTGCAGACTTTTTTCTACCCCAATGAATACTACTGCCTTCATTGGTCATGTCTGATGCTCATTTAACTTCCCTCCACAAGTGTTGTGCCACATGGTTCTTCAGCAGCTGGAGATAAATTTCCACAGCCACAAGTTCTGCACAAACACATGTAGCAGAAAGTCAAAACAAATGCACTATGAACGCATTCTACTTGCCAATAGTTATATTCCACTGGCTCTGGACATGGTTTAACAGGGATCAAATGTAAAGAAGTTCTGACATCAAGAGACACCCTATTATAATCAAAACCTTCCGTAAGGAATTATTTACTCAGAGTTGAGGAACGTCTAAAGCACTTTTAAGAAAGTAAAGCAGTGAGAAGAAGTTGGTGCCTGTTCTGCACTAACCATCAGGTTTATTGCTGAAGCAATAGAGGCCAACTATACATTAAATTCTGTCTAAACAGGGTGATGAATACAAACATCAGTCCCAAACTGAGACAGCATATGGAGAAGAACATAAAAACGTGCCTATAGGCTTAACACTTTCTGTTTTCAATTAGCATGTGCTAAAATTATCTAAGCAACAGTATTTAAGAATGTTTTAAAATATTAGATCAGATTATAAGCCTCCATATAAACAATCAGAGAATGCTTTGCATTGGAAGGAACTCTAAAGATCATATAGTTCCAACTCCCCTGCCATGGGAAGGTACACTTTCCTGGCCCTGAACACTTGATGGGGCACGCACAACTTCTTCAGACAACGCTTCATCATCCTCACAACAAAGGATTCCTTCCATAATACTTAATACTTAAATATCACCAGAAAATCCATATTTATAATGAATGCAAAAGTATTTTATTCAAAGACAAATATTAGGACTTGCCTGTAATAGGGATCTTGAAAGAACACATGGTGATTGCTCACTAAATTCACAGAAGAAGTCCTAATTTATATTTAGGAAAAAAAAGACAATTCAGGTTAATATGTCAATTTATCTATATATATATAAACACATGGAGTGACATTTTTATACACACACACACATTTGCATCTCATATAAACACACATATGTAACTGTGTAGATACACCTATACTTTGTATAAAGGCACACATGTAAACATAACATAGCTTACAGAACTTGCAAGAAAGTGACTGTGAATAATTTGAGCAGAACAGATTATGAAGACAAAATCCATTTTTTTCTGCAATTACTTGTTATTTAACAGAACAAAAAGGCTTCTGAATTTTCAAATGCAACAACATACATAGTGCTCAGTTTTCTCTCCAGTGAGCAACACCATGCATACATGAAATGATTTGTTGCAAGTTATATTTTCAAATCTTGTATTTGGCAATAAATAAGAAATATTCATGCTTACCAGTATACAGTGCAAATTAGTTAAGTTGACCACTTCACATACAGTTTTTATTCGGTCTATTAGTTTGGAAAAATAATTGACCATTTCTTCCCTTTTAATTATTTTTGCGTATCGAGGAAAAGTTGGTGGCAGCAATCTCTGATTAACCAGAGGTTCAAAGCCCATCATAATAGGATGATCTAATGAAGGAGAAGGGGACAGAGACAGAGAAAAGGTGCATGTAAGCTGTGTTTTCAGAACTTACTTCAAACTTGCAAGTATGATACAAGTTATTCAATTTGCAAAAATGAAATTTTAATCTGTGAGTTAACTTCTACAGATTCTAACTACCCAATTAAGACAGTAATTACTATAAAAAAAAAAACCAACCCTCCACACATACCTGTACAAACAGTGGGGTGCCGTTCCCTATTTTAAAATAACATATGCACTGATTTGAAGTGCAATGCACTTAATCAAAAGTTCACATTATCTCTGGCTGTGAATTGACAGTATTGCTTTCAGGAGAACCATCAGTTAGCGAAATAAAATTAAAATTAAAGAATGCAAGTCTGTAACAACTTCTACAACGAGTGTTATTATTTCAAAGTAAACAGTTATTTTAACTTCTTTTAAATACACAAAGATATATACATTTATGAAGAGAGCATATTTAAGAAAGAAAAAATGGTATTATTTGATACATACCTCCTTTAGTGGTATCGTTCTGTGCCTGCATACCATGATGCAATGAATTGTGGATAGCAGAAAGCAAGTCAGCTGCCTGAGTCATTAGTTTCTGAGCTTCTGCAACTGCACTCATCTAAAAGGCAGGAAACAATTTTTCACATTATGAACCAACATATTTTGACTATATAATTAATGCTAGTATAAGGAAAAAAATATTAGGGTTTTGTTGTTCGTATACAACCGATTCTGAGCAATAAATCCAATATTTTTGCGCAAAAGCATTCTATTTTACATATTTATACATACACTCAACACTGTATAAGACTTGACAATAATTACAACTGGAAGTCTTGTATACACTATGTGAAAGGCTACTCTTTGGGAGCATGTGATTCTATCCTTTTGCCTTCAAACATGAAGTTCCTTCCCCTTCCAGCAATTGGGAAATCATGTATTAAAAAAATTAGTCAAATTTCATGGAATGCTATTATAATTCCTCTTCTCAGACCAAAGATGTCTAGGTACAAATTCAGAATGGCATGCAAGGAAAATCTAACAGTTCTTTAGAGACAGGCAAAACACTGTCCAGTGTCAGGTAACTCCACAGGAGGGGACTGAGATCAAGCAAGAGAAGTTTTGCTTATGTGTGTCAAAAGTATAATTTGAAATACATAAATATTTTTAAGTGTTTTATAATGAATACTCTGTCTCTGCAAGATCATAATAATGTCAGCTACTAGCCTTCCCTGTGTTTGAACAAAAACTGAATGTTTGCCGCTATAGGGCCTTTTTCAACACTTTATCTGAATCCACATCAACTCAAATCTCCTCAATCTAGGGAACTGCCTGATCTTCATGAAAATGAGTATTTCACAAGATCACAATGTGAGCACATAAACACCAAATGAACATACCTCTTTTTTTGTAAATGCTATTAGAACAGTCAGTAGTACCCGGGTAAACTTGACTCTGCTGAACACAGCTAAACATTGCTGATGCTGTAATAAAATTATACTGCAAATTACTACGCAATAGGCATTAAATCACAGAATCATAGAATACACTGAATTGAAAGGGACCCACAAGGATCAGCCCAACTCCTGGCCCTGCACAGGACCACCCCAAGAATCACACCACGTCTGAATGCTGCCCAAACGCTTCTTGAACTCTGTCAGGCTTGGTGCTGTGACCACTTCCCTAAGGAGCTTGTTGCAGTACCCAACTACCCTCTGCATGAAAAGCCATTTCCTAATATCCAGCCAAAACTTCCCGGACCCAGCCTCAGGCCATTCCCTCGGGTCCTGTCACTGACCACCACAGAGAAGAGATCAGTCCCTGCTCCTCCTCTTCCCCTCATGAGGAAGTTATAGACTGCAATGAGGTCTTCTCTCAGCCTCCTCTTCTCCAGGCTGAACAGAACAATCAACCTCAGTTGCTTCTCATAGGGCTTCCCCTCAAGGCCCTTCACCATCTTTGTTGCCCTCCTTTGGATGCTTTCTAAGAGCTTTATAATCTTCTGATATGGTGGCATCCAAAACTGCCCACAGGACTCCTGCCCCCCCTGCACAGTCACATAAACTGCTTCAGCATGCCCTGGCTAGTGTGCCCTGCTCTGTTTGCCAGCTCTTCACCATGCTACTGGTTGATCACACTCTCCAGGCTGCTTTTTATATGCATGCGTGTGGTTATACCACATTTAGATCTCCCATTTACATCCAAGAAATCCAGGGGAAAAAGCAAACAATTCATTACTTCAAGTTCAACTTCTGGATCTCTCTCTTCTCCTTGTCGACTTCGAGTGCTCTAGAAGGTAAAGAAATGTCAAATAATTTATCAAAAATTGCAAAGGGAAGCTACTGATAAAATCCCTTTACCCTCTCTAGAATATCTGTTAAGTAAGCCAAAAATCAGTTCTCAAGTTCAAAACGTCTTAATATATGGTCCAGGTATTTGAATGACTCTCCTATAGTAATGAGAGGTATCTCAGTAAACTCTGCAAATAAGTAAGGAAAGTGCATGAACATTTTATAGTGTAAAATGTGGTAAAGGAAAATTACAGAACTTCTTTAATATATTAATATTAAATATTATATAATAATAAAATATTAATATATTTGCCTAGAACCCAGAAGTTAAATTCATCCTTTCTGTGCCTCAGCCCAGTGTTATCTTCTACATCATGATTCCACCTTCTACTAGTGAAGCAACTACTCAAGAGTATAGAAAAGTCTGAAGACTTCCCCATCTTTAAGTCAAACTAAAAGCATGTTATACAAACTGTTATAGTAGTTCTTCAAAAACCCCACCATTTAATGACACAAACCTCCTGCATTCCTCATAATCCAACTTCCTCTCCCAAATCTATGTTAAGTACACTTGAAACATAATTGACAAGGCAAATGTGAAAACAATACCTTCACTCGTCTTTGCATGTCCTCTTCTACATCTTTCAGCATACCTGAAAAAAGTCATAGAACAATTAAGAGCTGAGAGGCACTCCCAGGCACAGTTAACATCACTCAGAGGAAAAAAAGTTTCAAGGAGAAAGCCAAGTTTAGGAGTGCTTTACATTAGCCAGAGACTAGACAAAAAATATTCTTGTAGACAAAGACTTTGTCTTCTAGACAAAGAATATTCTTGTATTCTTGTGCAACAACTGAAAAATCAGAGGAGAATAGACCAACTGATTCAAAGCTAAAGTGTTCACAAACTTCTCAAAAATAAATCAATAGAAAGCTAATGTAGTTATAAAAAACAGTGCATCAAAAGACTAACATACAAACTTATGTACCTAACAATATATGTATTCATAGCTGAAGAACAACTAGATTGCATTTTATTCTAAAGCAACCTGTTTTGAAGACAACAAATTGTAAGGAAAAAAAGCAGAATTCAAGCACTGCACTTCCAGTCATCTGTATCCATCTTATGATGAGCTCATGCCCATTCCCTTTGTCATTGTATCTAAAAGCACTTCTTTTTCTCATAACAACTAGACTGCTGAACCTTTTCTTCAAGGAAAAATAATTTGATCTCTTTCTACTAAGTCACCAATTTTCACATGACTAATAAAACAACAGCTGAGACTCACACCAATTCATCAGGTGTGGTTGAAAGTAATCAGATGCTCAAAAGAGAAAGCAACCAATGGCCAGATACACAGGAAGCACAAACTGTACCTGTAACTCTAAGATCTGTCACACTGTTGGCCATTTTAAATCCATAAGTCATTGACTGAAAGTCTTCCTAAAAAAAAAAAAAAATCAAGGAAAACACATAATGAAATATGAAAAGTTGTAGCTACATTATCAGGTTAGGATTTGGGATTTTCTTTTTGTTTATTTTGGTTTTTGGTGAGTTGTTTTATTCTTGCATTTTGGGTCTTTTCATTGGTTTTCCTTTTTTGAGGGGTTGGGTGGGTATGTGCACAGGGTGTGTTTTTATTTAACTCCATCAAGTATAAATGTCCAGTTTTATTTTATGCAGCTGAATATACCCAATAGCTTGGGTGACTTTCTTACCCAAATGCAGCTTGAGGTAATTATTCTCTGCATAAATCCTTAATACCAATATGCCTTTCATATTTTCATCAAGTGACACACTACCAGAATGTTAACATATTTAACCACAGGAGATATCAAAACACATACCTCCTCAAAAACAGCTGCTTTGTTAACCTTTTCTCTGGCAATATCACAGATTTTTAGGATCCCAAGAGCAAAAGCCTTCATAGCAGGATCTTCTATGAAGTCTGGATTATGAATATAAAGGCAGGTGAATACCGTCTGTGCCAAGGAATGTCCTTCTAACCACGTTATCTAAAGAAAAGAAAATTAAATGTTTTACTCATGACAGTCAAGTCATCATTTTTATAGATCCATTCTTTTTCCATCTTACTGTGCTTCAAAGACTCATTAAGGAACTCCTTACTACGGCAACCTTTCATCTACCAAAAGAGGGCAAGTGAAGGCGTTAAAACCTTTATCCATCTGCTGGCTGTGGCAGATAGTAAGTTGCTAAAGCCTAAAAAAAGCCTAAAATTCTAGTTGGATAAACCTCTTCTGTAAAGTTCAGGTCTAATCTCTGTGACCTAGATAAAACATTAAGTTAAGAGACAACCAGATTTACAAACTTTTTCTATACTAATACTGAAAGAAAAAATTCAAGTGGTTATGAAACAACTCACTAATATTCTGCGTGTTCTTTCTCTTCTGTGACTTAGAGCTTCTTTCACAATCCCCTCTCTCTACTTTCACACTGCTTTAAGCTACAGGGAAAGCTTCAGTAATCTAAACTTAAATTTCTGAAGCAGGACCATAATTGTAATATGACCACTGTCCCTTTTCAAAAAAAGTGTGCTTTGGGGTCAGGGGCAGAAGACAAATTACATTACACCGTATCAGATATACAGTCATCCTTAGATGTCTTTTGGACTAAACTGATTTGAAATGTTTTAAAAAACAAAGTAATGTTATTGATGTAATTTTAAAGAGTAACTGAAAATTAGTATCATTTACTGAGGTAATTAAAGCATATACATAGGGAAAAAAATTCACAATTAGCAAGTAAGTGATACTTCACTTATTTTTTTCTAAATGGATTTATTTCATTTCTTCAAAATGCCCCGTAAGCTCAGTCAATTATGGCTGTACAGAAAGGAGCAACAGGGTGCTACAAGTTACAGTACACTCAGCTTCCAACACAGTCAAACACCAAAACCCAGCAGGCAATCATATAACACACATTCATAAAACTAGAAGCTATAAAACCTTTTTTAAATCATTAAAAATTATTCATATTTTCTAAAGTAAAAAGAGATCAATATTATGCTTTTTATAATAGCCAATGCAACTAACTAAGTGGAAATTAAAGCACAATGCATGTATTTTCTAAGTGAAACCATCTAACTTGAAGAACAGAAAAATGCTTACCAAACAACAAAAACATGTATCCATTATTCCTACTAGCTCAGGTAAAGTGAGATCTTTTATTTTAATGGTGCCATCCTTAAAAAACAAGAAAAAAAAACGTAAACGCTATGGAAGCATATAGGCAAAATATGACTTCTTTGTACAGCCAAAAATTAAAATTTGCATAACACTTCAGAGTAATTGTATGTCACTACCTTTACTGATCAGCTTCACAATGGGTCTCAAATTCTGAAAAACTTTGCCTTCCCATCATTGTGTTAAACATTGAACAAACAAAGCTGTCAAAAAGAATGCTAAAGTACTTATGAGTAGACAACAGAAGTTTAAAACCAGTTAACTGTCAACACTAAATTCACAAAACAGTATGTATAATCATAATAAAGGCTGAACAAGGGATAATATGCAGGACTACTTTTTTGAAAACTGCTTTTTAAAGTGCAGATACTTGTACAGTTTTACTGCCAGGACCAAAAACCCTGCAGTTCTACTTTGATTATTTTATTTGTCCAATGTCTGCAATCCTGAATACATTCTAAGTTCTCTAAATCCATTCGAAACAAAGTCCATCATTAAAAAAATACTTTTGCCACTGAGTGCATCTTTTTCCCCAAAATAACAGAAAGTCTTTCAATCTTCCCTAAACCAATTTATCTTGACCATAAATCAAAAGTTAATCATTACTGTCAATATTGTTAAATTAGCCAGCTTGTGTCCAATGCTAATAAACTGATAATATAATGAAGTGTTAATTTCTGGCTTTTGTAAGGACATTGGTTTCAATTCAGGCTAAACAGGGGCTAACAAATACATCTTCACAAAAAAGACACATTTAGGGAAAGCATAGGTTGACTTGCAAGACCATTATGAAAATATATTTACTTGACATATCAATAAACAACAATTTCACAGTACTTTTCACTTAAGAGTATCTTCACTTTTCACTGAAGTAGCATTGAGATAATGTAGGAAACAAAAGTTAAAAAAGAAAAAGTAAACATCACAAGCTATTTCTTACTTTATTTTTCTTATTACCCAAAACTTAAAAAAAAAAGATTGAAAACATTAATTATCCTGAATTGTGCTTAACTGTAATTTGATACAACTGTATCATATTTTTACAGACAGTGTAAGCAAAACCAGGAAATTCACACGAACCTTAATTGCTTGCTCGAAGTTAAGAACCTTTCTGTTAACTTGGTTTCCAATCATACCAGCATCCATCTTGGGATCCATCATTTCAATGGCAGACATGGCTTCAAAAAGACCAAAACTAAGAACACAGATGAAAAAAACCCCATGCTGAATGTAACTGTTTTATACAAAATAATCTTCACAAACTAATGTAAAAGCATATGATGACAAACTGAGTACACCATATTCAGACCAGAGACAAGAAGGTATGTGAACTTTAGTACTGATCTTCAGAGATCATGGTTTTCAAATCCTCACAAGCTGAGGATCTCTCAACAAGTTAGTAGGAAAATAGATGGCTGAAAGTAGAAGAAAACTATTAGCCTTTCTTTAAAGCTGAAAAACACTTCTGAGCTAAATATCCTATTACTACAACTACGCATGCTTGTTTCTACACTCCTCATAATGACAGCACCTTTTTAAAGATCATCTAACACAATAAGCTGGTATTAACTGAACAAGCTGTTCTTTACCACACCGCATCAAAAAACCCAAATAAGGTAAGTATCCCCCAAACTAATCATAATATATATCTGACACAGGCTAGTATATTCAGAAGTATACTGAACTTGCAGTCAGGGCATAGAAACTTGCAGAAGAACCACACCAAATAAAGACAACTTTGGAAGAAGGGATACAGTGCCTTGCTTCTGGTACATATGACATTCATCAGAACTGCTGCACTAGTCTTTATAATATAAAAAGGTTATTCGCATGTGGCACACTTAAATTCTGAAAAGTGTATTTCATCTGAAATACTCTTATGTATAAAACTAAACCTGAAAATGTGCTTAGATTCTACAGAGCATGGTGACATCCTTGCCCACATTTTTGAACAGGTTGTAATAGCGTGCTTCTGTTTTCTGAGCTATTAGTCTCAAATAAGCACTTTTTGCTTTATGAAATTGAACAGATTAGTGTGGCTAAACAATTTAATCTTTAAAACGTATTCTTTAATGAAATCAGCAATCCTTTTGCACATCCTTTTTGAAATATGCTTTCTCCTCAATCTGTAGAGTTCTCACTTTCTGTTTTAGCATATCGTTTTAAGTTACATTAAAGCATATGGATTGTTTATACTAAACTTGATCATGACATCTGAGGCAACCAAATTTAAAGTCATAAAGTCTTTCTGGCATTTTTTTATAAAAGCGTGTCCACATAAAATAGTTCAGTAGGTTCAGCAGTGTCATCACCACTGATCATAAGATGTGCTATGAACTTCTAAAATATACTGATTCATTGAAAATGTAATGTTATTCTGACACCATGAGAACTGTTCAGGATTCATACATGTGCAGCTTATGCCTGCCGCTAAAGAAAAATGACACTGAATACTTCAACTATTTTATTTAAACTAAAAGCTTAAAAAAGCTTAGTTATCAGGAAATATTAACATATTTGAACTGATCCTACCTAAAAATGAGAACTATACCCCATGCATACTTACAGCTTGTCATGAAGCAATTCTCCTAACTTCAGTTCTACAAAGGAACAGGACAGAATAAACAATTACAATCATCCTGCTAGCACAACTTCTCCAGCATAGTCTTGTCACTCACCAAACCCTCTTACGCTAAGAAACAAAGTTTGGGAAGCAGATTAGACATTTCTATTCCACCCTCATTTGCTTTTACTTACAAAGCACTTTCAAGACTGAAAGATGATAAAAACCCCAGTGGTTCAGAGTATACTCTCATTTCTCTCTGCTATTCTAATACTTAAAGAGGCTTTAGAATTACTAAACACCCTGTGTGGTCGCAGCTCAAAAAATCCGCATTGTGGGCTGCATCAAAAGCAGCATGGCCAGAAGGTCGAGGGAAATTATTCTGCCCCTCTGCTCTGCTCTTGTGAGATCTCAGCATGAGTGCTGCGTCTAGGTTTGGGGTCCCCAGCACAGAACAACATGGACCTGTTGGAGTGACTTCAGATGAGAATAACAAAAATTACTTGAGGGCTGGAGCACCTTTCCTATGAAGACAGGATGAAATAATTGGGGCCGCTCAGCCTGGAGAAAGGATGGCTCCAGGGAGATGTTCTAGCAGCCTTCCAGTACCTGAAAGAGGGCTACAAGAGAGCTGAAAGGACCTTTTACAAGAGCATGCAGTGACAGAACAAGGGGGAATGCTGTTAAAGAGATTTAGATATTTGAAGAAATTCTTTACTGTGAGGGTGGTGAGGTATTGGAACAGGTTACCCAGAAAAGCTGTGGATTCCCCATCCCTGCAAGCATTTAAGATGAGGCTGGATGGAGCTTTGAAAACCACATTCTGGTGGATGATGCTCCGGTTCATGGCAGGGGAGTTGTAACGAGATGGTCCCTTCCAACCCAAATCATTCTATGATGATTATTCTATGAAATAGCAGCATCAGCTGTCTCCTGTGCTCCTCTGCACAGGTGTCTTAATCTTTTTCAGGGGGAGAATAATGAAAGGTTTGCTTTTCCTCATTACTTTTAAAGATACATTTGATACATACAGATACATTTGATGAGTACACAGACATAAGTAATATACAGAAATTATTGGATGGCATACAGAAATTGTGTTTATCATTATGTAACACTGTCTGTGGTAAGCTGCAGTTTTAGATTTATTTTTCACTAATGTCATCATAAAATCAGTTGAAAAAATGTAAACTAGCAGTAGCATCTAACAACAGTAAAGGCATTGTTTAAATGGAAGCAACTACTTCCCTGTTACTGGGATGCATTACATAATTTCAGAAACTCAGCCTTGCTTCAGAGATGAAAAGTGATGCACTGATGAATTAAATGAGTTCTTGAACCCTATAGATCCAAAAATACACAGGAAAGAAAAAGCTCTTGATTCTGCATGCATGAATGGAATTTCCACTTGACAGAAGAGACAAGAAGAAATCTTTGCACAGGGAAAAAAGCGGGAGAAAAAATGTGTAAGGCAAAGAAGTGAATAAAAAAGATATTTATGTAATCTGGAAGAAGCAGGAAGGTGGGGTGCTTCTGGCATTTCTATCTTCACAGTTAACACAGAATCAATGTGTTATTCAAGCCTCACTCATCTGAGGCTTGAATCTGAGTCAAACTATAGATCAGAAGACCTCAAATGACTATGCTTAGTACTCCACAGCATACCGAGTTTTCTCAGAACAAAGGAATAATACTCACCTCTACAAGCTTCTTCAAAATCCTGGGTTATATCTATCCAGCTTGCATTACTCTTTTCCATCTTGTCAGGCATACCGAGTTCCCATCCTGAATCATCATCTTCTACTGAAGCTTTCATAACCATGATGCTGCACCTTTAAATCCCTACCAGAGACACCATACATTTGCACAAATTAGAGGAAGTGCTTCATGGGAATATTTTTTTCCTTTCCAAGAACTGGGTGAGAGATACTTACTAAACTGATTTTATTTAAACAGCCACTGTTACATAAAACCGACAAACCCAACCTTATCAATAGTAGAATATTTAAAAAATCGTTTTCTTATTCATCATTTCTCTACAACTAGCTTGTAGGCCGTGAAACCTCAAAACCTAAGCACACCAAAACATCAGCTGTACAGAGCCACATAGTGTACTGTCAAATTAGAAATAAAATGGGAGGCGTAAAGAAGTCCTCCCTTAAAACACATGCAGATATCGCAGGGTTTTTTTTGTTCTTTTATACTATTAGACTATACATCCTCCTACTGTTCTGCAAAACGAATTAAAAAGAGGGAACTGTAAAACTGATCACAAGCAGGTGTTATTCATATGAAGTGTATTCAAACGAATTTTTGAAAGACGGTTTATTTCCTCTGATTTCTTCAGCAGAGAGCAGTATCAAAATCACGGCACGCATATTAAGCAACTTCAGATTAGAACACACGTCTTAAGACTCCACCGACCAGTTATTTCGAACTGGTTTTGCGCTATCTCAGCCTCCCAACTCCCGGGGCAGCCCTGAGGAATTTCATGCTTTCCCGATCAGCCTGCCTGTGAGACACCAGCAACGCCGAACTCCCCTCGTGTGTCTCCCAAGAGACAGCTGGGGGCAAGGCAAGCTCTGAGCAGCTGAATCACAGCCGCCACGGAAGCTCTGAACAAAGGCCCCCGTGGCAGGAGACCTCCCGGCCACGGGGAATTAAGACAAAGAAATGGGGACGGGGGGCATCGAAAGGCCTTCGAACACCAGCCCCGGGGGCGTCAGGATGGCGCCAGTTCTCAGGACATCAGCAGGAACTGCCAGGCTTAGCGGGCTGCGACGAGGAAATATGGGGGGGGGGGAGGGGGGGGTCAAAAAAACCCACACCAATTAAAACAAGCTAATTAAACTCCCGCCTGGATCCCGGGGCACTTAGGCCTCCCGGACTCCGCTCTTCCCGCGGATCCTCCGCGAACTCCGGCCGCCGACCAGGACCGCCGGGGCAGCTCAACGGGGGGCACCGGGCACCGCCGCGAGGCCGCAAGGAAAGGGCCGCCACCGCCACCGCGGACTAACCCCCCCCTCCCTCCTTCCTTCCCTCCCTCCCTCCGTCTGTCCGTCCGTCCCTCCGCCAGGCTGCCTCTGCCCGCGCCCCCCGCCGGGCCTCACCCGCAGCGTCCAGCCCGGGCCGCCGCACACGAGCAAACCCTTGGCCTCGGCCGCCGCCGCAGACGAGGCCCGGCCCCAGAGCCCCGCGCAGCCGCACTCGGGAGCCGCCTACGCAGCCCCGCCCACCGCCGGGGGAGGGGCCGGTATGCGCCGGGGGGCCCGAGGGGGGCGGAGCCCCCCTCGGGCCCCCCGGCGCACACCGGCCCCCCCCCCGGCGGCGGGCTGGGTAGGAATTTTTTTATATTTTTATAGCTTTCCCCCAAGAAGAAGGTATTTTATAGTAATTTCTGAATTCTTTATCTCTTGCCTTGCTTAAAGTACCACTCATTTTTCAGGAACTTGTCATTACTTTGGATCTCCTCGTGAATGGAAGCAATTGGTGCAGGGAGATAAGGAAGAGGGAGCGGTCTCACAGTAAGAAAATACTTTCCTAAGTAGAAAGAAGGTAACCCTCAGATAGGCTAAAAATGATACACATATTTTTTTTTTTTTTTTCCCCACTGTGAATACCGATGTTCTTGTTTAAATGAAACAGATGAGATTCACTCTTGGCTTTGGCTGGATCATGGGGGGGTGTTAACATTCTACACATATACAATAAATGTGATTGTCACTGGGCATATGGAAAAAAAGTGGCTGACTTGGTATGAACGTGTGAAACACACTGCATCACTTTAAAAACCTGTCCCCTTCCTGCCCTGAAAAAAACACTCCTTCTGACCCCCAGTCTCCACAACGCTTAAATGAACATTGTCCATGAGGATACAAATCTGTACCTTCTGAATTTTGTATGAAGGCTAGTGGTGGGTTATTTCATTTTCAGTATTACAAAAAAAAAAAGTAGCTGAATGAACCACAGATATGAAGTTGAACTGAAATGCATTTGTATGCGCTGAAATACACCTGTAACAGAGTGCAAAAGATCCTCCCAAAGGTGAAAAAGTACCATAGAATCATAGAATTAACTGGGTTGGAAGAGACGTCTGAGATCATCAAGTCCAACCCTTGATTCAATCCCACTGTGATTACTAGGTCATGGCACTCAGTGCCACATTCAGCCTCATCTTAAAAACCTCCTGGGATGGTGAATCCACCACCTCTCTGGGCAGGCCATTCCAATGCCTGATCACCCTCTCTGTAAAGAACTTCTTTCTACTATCCAACCTAAACCTCCCCTGGCAGAGCTTAAACCCGTGCCCTCTTGTCCTACTGCTGATTGCCTGGGAGAAGAGACCGACCCCCACCTGGCTACAACCTCCTCTCAGGGAGTTGTAGAGAGTGATGAGGTCTCCCCTGAGCCTCCTCTTCTCCAGACTAAACAACCCCAGCTCTCTCAGCCTCTCCTCATAGGACTTGTGCTCAAGTCCCTTCACCAGCCTTGTTTCTCTTCTCTGGACCCGCTCCAGCACCTCAATATCCTTCCTGAACTGAGGGGCCCAGAGCTGAACACAATACTCAAGGTGTGGTCTCATCAGCACTGAGTACAGGGGAAGAATCACTGCCCTGGACCTGCTGGACACACTGTTCCTGATCCAGGCCAGGATGCCATTGGCCTTCTTGGCCACCTGGGCACACTGCTGGCTCATGTTCAGCCTCCTGTAGATCTAAACTCCCAGATCCCTTTCTGCCTGGCTGCTCTCCAGCCACTCTGTGCCCAGCCTATAGCGCTGCAGGGGGTTGTTGTGGCCAAAGTGCAGGACCCAGCACTTGGCCTTGTCGAACCTCATCCCGCTGGAATAAGCCCAACTCTCCAGCCTATCCAGGTCCCTCTGCAGAGCCCTCCTGCCTTCCAGCAGGTTGACACTCCCCCCAACTTGGTGTCATCTGCAAATTTGCTGATGATGGACTCAATCCCCTCATCTAAATCATCGATAAAGATGTTAAACAGGACTGGGCCCAGCACTGATCCCTGGGGAACACCATTGGTGACCGGCCGCCAGCTGGATGCAGCCCCGTTCACCAGCACTCTCTGGGCCTGGCCCTCCAGCCAGTTCCTGACCCAGCACAGAGTGCCCCTGTCCAAGCCATGGGCTGCAGCTTTTCCAGGAGTATATTATGGGAGATGGTGTCAGAGGCTTTGCTGAAGTCCAGATAGACACATCCACAGCCTTCCCCTCATCCACCAGGCAGGTCACTTGATCATAAAAGGAGATCAGGTTGGTCAGACAGGACCTGCCCCTCCTAAGCCTGTGCTGGCTGGGTCTCATCCCTTGTCCATCCTGTAGGTGATTGCACTCAGGATGATCTGCTTCATAACCTTGCCAGGCACTGAGGTCAGGCTGTCAGGCCTGTAGTTTCCCAGGTCCTCCTTGCAGCCCTTTCTGTAGATTGGCGTGACATTCACCAACTTGCAATCATCTGGGATCTCCCCAGTGAGCCAGGACTGTTGGTAAATGATGGAGATCGGCTTGGCAATCTCTTCTGCCAGTTCTCTCATCACCCTAGGATGGATCCCATCTGGTCCCATGGACTTGTGTGGATATAGGTGGCTCAACAAGTCTTTGACTATTTCCTCCTGGAACACAGAAGGGCTATTCAGCTTCCTGTCCCTGTCAACTAGCTCCAGAGGCCAGTTGTCCTGAGGGCCACCTGTCCTACTGGTGAATACTGAGGCAAAGTAGGTGTTAAGTACCTCAGCCTTCTCCTTATCCCTGTTAACTATGTTCCCCCACAAGTCCAACAAAGAAAGGAGGTTTCCTTGTCCCTCCTTTTGTTATTAATGTATTTATAGAAGTGATTTTTGTTATCCCTAACAGAAGTAGCCAAACTGACTTCAAATTGTGCTTTTGTCTCTCTAATTTTTTTCTGCATAACCTAGTTATACTCCTAAACTCAGCCTGGGTAGCCAGCCCTATTTTCCACAGTCTGTAAGCTCCCTTTTTATCCCTAATTTCTTTCAGAACCTCCCTATTCAACCAAGCTGGTCGTCTACCCTGACAGTTTGCCTTTTGGCACACTGGTACTGCCTGTTCCTGTGCACTCGAGACTTCCTTCTTGAAGCATGTCCATCCCTCCTGTACCCCCTTGTTTTCAAGGGTTTTTTCCCAGGGTATGCTCTGGACCAGTCTTCTGAACAGGCCAAAATCTGCCCTCTAGAAGTCCAGCGCAGAGGTTTTATTGGTGGTCTTCCTTGTATCCCTGAGTATTGCAAACTCTGTTATTTCACGGTCACTGTGCCCCAGGCGGCCTCCAACCAATACATCTCCCACCACCCCTCTCTGTCTGTAAACAACAGGTCTAGTGGGGCCCCACCCTGGTAGGTTCATTTACCTGCTGGAGCACAAAATTATCCTCTAAGATAATTAGAAATTATCCTTTAAGATAATTAGAAATGATCCTCTAAGAACAGCAGCAATCTGGAGAAGCACCAAGTTCTAATTGTTAGCAAGGAATGACGCATCTAGAAATAAAGAGCCAAAATGAAATTGTCCAGTGTGTATGTAGTCAAGTGCTGGCTCCCACATGAAGGCATGATTGGTTTTCAGAGTCAAGGAGAGCTGTTAGCTGTGTTCATTATCTGGAACTGACTGGATATGCTCAGTACATGGGAACATAGCAACAGGCAAGGCAGATTTAAATAACAGAGGTTAAGTTTTAGTAGGAAACAGTGATTATCCAGTTGATAATTTGAAAGGAACAGGATAGGATCTAAAATCACTTATATGCAGCAACCTATTAAATTATTTCAAAGAGCTTTTTCCTTGCTTTTATCCTAGAATCAGAGAATTATTAAAGCTGAAAAAGACCTTCAAGTCCAGCTATCAACTGTCATACTCATCATTATACCATGTCCAAAAGTGCCATATCCACATGTTTTTGAACACTTCCAGAGATGGTGGCTCCACCTCTTCCCTGGGCAGTCTGTTATAATGCCTTACAACCCTTTTCTGCTCCCAGGAGGGATAACCATTAACTTTTAAAATTACTTGTGATTATTTTAGTGGTATGACTGATCCTGGAAGTTATACGGTATTGCTAACTTAGTAGTAAAGATTTTTTTAACAGATTATAAACATGCAGTTGGGAGTGAGGAGCCTGTTTTTGTCTGAAAACTTGTGTCTCTGCAAAATGTCACTCAATTCATTGCTTATATTGCCTTGTCAGTAATGCTAAATGAACGCAATGCGATTTATGTAAAAATGTAAGCTGCCTTTTTATGTTAGGAAACCTCTGATGTCCTTGTCTTTCCACATAGATTAGCATATATTTGTTAATTCTTTCCTAAGTGCTTAGGTTGTTCCTTTAAAAGGTATATTCCTATGACCAAATGCCCTACAAATCACAGAATCATTAAGCTGGAAAAGACCTTCATGTCCAACCTTTGACCAAACACTACCATGCCAATTAAACCGTAGCACTAAGTTCCACATCCAGTCATTTACTGAATGCTTCCTGGGATAGCGAATCCACCATCTCCCTGGGAAGCTGATTCCAATGCTTAACCACCCTTTCGGTGAAAAAATTCTTCCTGATGTCCAACCTGAACCTCCTCCGGCACAGCTTGAGGCTGTGTCCTCTTGTCCTGTTGCTACTTGCCTGGGA